ATATAGCCATTAAAAGCTAAATCCCTGGCAACAAAAGTGAGTACACCCCTAAGAAACTACACCCCTAAAAAGTGAGTACACCCCTAAGAAACTACACCCCTAAATGTCTAAATTGAGTACTGCTTTTCATTTTCCCTCCAAAATGTCATGTATATATACACTATACATTAGTGTAACTATGCCCATATGTTCATGGGGAGCAGGTGTATTCAAATTTGTAGTGCAGCTCTAACACTCTCTCTTACCAGTCAATGAAAGTTCCAACATGGCACCACATGGCAAAGAACTCTCTGAGGATCTTAAAAAACGTATTGTTGCACTACATAAAGATGGCCAAGGCTACAAGAAGATTGTCAACACCCTGAAACTGAGCTGCAGCACAGTGGCTAAGGTCATCCAGCATTTTAAAAGAGCAGTATTCACTCAGAACATGCCTCGGGTAGGTCGTCCAAAGAGGCTGAGTGCACGTGCTGAGCGTCACATCCAAATCCTTTCTTTGAAAGATCGGCGTAGGAGTGCTGTTAGCATTGCTGCAGAGATTAAAGAGATTGGGATTCAGCCTGTTAGTGTTCGCCGCACACTACATCAAATTGGTGTGCATGGCTGTCACCCCAGGAGGAAGCCTCTTATGAAGGCAATACACAAGAAAGCCTGCAAACAGTTTGCTGAAGACATGTCAACAAAGCCCATAGATTACTGGAACCATGTCCTATGGTCTGATGAGATGAAATTTAATTTGTTTGGTTCTGATGGCTTTAAGCATGTGTGGTAGCGACCAGGTGAGGAGTACAAAGATAAGTGTCATGCCTACAGTCAAGCATGGTGGTGGGAATGTCATGGTCTGGGGCTGCATGAGTGCTGCAGGTATTGGAGAGTTACATTTCATTGAGGGAAACATGAACTCCAACATGTACTGTGAAATACTGCAGCAGAGCATGATACCCTCCTCCAGAAACTGGGTGCATGAGCAGTGTTCCAGCATGACAATGACCCCAAATACACATCCAAGACAACCACTGCTTTACTGAAGAGGCTGAGAGTAAAGGTGATGGACTGGCCAAGCATGTCTCCAGGCTTGAACCCAATAGAACATCTTTGGGCCATCCTCAAGCAGAAGGCGTAGGTGTGCAGAGTCTCAAATATCTGCCAGCTCCCGCGACGTCGTCATTGAGGAGTGGAAGAGCATTCCAGTGACTACCTGTGAAGCTCTGGTAAACTCCATGCCCAGGAGAGTAAAGTCAGTTTTGGATAATGATGGTAGCCACACAAAATATTGACAGTTGACATGTTGTATGTTAATATTGATAACATTTTCTAAGGGGTGTACTCACTTTTGTTGCCAGGGATTTAGCTTTTAATGGCTATATTTTGAGGGAAAAATAAATTAACTCTGTTATATATGCTGCAGACAGGCTACTTTTCATTGTGTCAAAGTGTCATTTTGTCAGTGTTGTCCCATGAAGAGATATACTTAAATATTTGAAGAAATGTGAGGGGTGTACTCACTTTTGTGATACACTGTATATATACATGCATACATATGTATATATACATATATACATACATATGTAAATATACACATATACATACATATGTAAATATACACATATACATACATATGTATATATACATATATATGTACATATTATACATACATATGTACATATTATACATACATATGCACATATTATATGTACATATATACATACATATGTACAGATTATACATACATATGTACATATTATACATACATATGTACATATACACATATATACATACATATGTACATATACACATATATACATACATATGTATATATATACATATATATACATTTCAGTTATAATTTATTTTGTGAATATTTTTATATTGATCTCTTCAGACTGAAGGTTCTTAATAAATGTTGATAATTCATTCACATAGATATACTAGATTAACAGGAAGAGAAAACAAGTGAGAAGAGAAGGAAGTGGGAGAAGAAGAAAAAAATAACAGATTTTTGAATATAAAAATTTTTTTAAAAAAAGTGGAGTGAAAAAGAGAGGGAGAGAGTGTGAAGGAAAAAAAAGGAAAGGAAGAAACAAATGAAGAGATAGAAGTAAAACTGAAATAGAATGACCTGTCCATGAATTTTTTCCTAAAGGGTTGAACAAGTTTGTACATCGGGTGATGCGGTGTGTGAATAGACTTGAAAGATTTACCACAAATTGACCAATAGAGCCTGTTATTTTAGGTAGCAATAGTCATCACAAATTCAAATTAGTTTAAAGTATTTATTTATTCAGGATATCATTATTATTATTATTATTTTTATTAGGGTTATCTTTATTAGACAAATTAATTTGCAGTTGAGTTGGCTAGCCACTCTTGGACAGAATTGTTACTGGCTAAGAAAAATGAACAGTTTATGATAATGTTCAATGCAAATGCAAAGCTTGTGAATATACATAACCAATGCCTAAAGTCAGTGTGTATCCAATGAAGATATTGCTGTATTTTTGGTGGGATTACAGAGGGATAATTCACTTTGAGCTTCTTCCAGCCAGGAAAGCAATAACTGCAAAGAAGTACTGTGACCAACACACCAATCTCAATGTGGCTATTGAAGAAAAACTGCTGATTTTAGTAAATTGAAAAGATGTCATCTTCCACCACAAGACTGCATACTGCAAAACAGATCTTGCAGTAGCTTAAAAAGTTAAAATGAGAAAACCTCCAGAATCCACAGTATTCTCCTGACTTGGCTCCTTTGGATTTTCATTTGTTCTGGTTGCAACAGTACAATTTAAATTTAACTCTGTAAAATCAGTCAAAAAATACTACACAACATTCTTCCAACAAAAATAAAGTTTCTATGAATATAGCATCAACAAGCCTGTAGAATGATGATGTGAAACAATTGTTAAAAACAATGGACAAATACATCATTTTAGTGAATATGTAAAATTTTGCTTTCAATTCTCTAATTGAGCACTTTTGATCTTATATATATATATATATACTAGCAGCATGGCCTAGTGTTGCTTGTGCTTGATTCAAAAATCGTATGACTCATACAGCAATCGCTATCACTTGATTTAAAATATTTTTGCCCTTCCTTGCCTTTAAAGGAGTGCCCTTTGCCATGCTGATGTTGCTACATGCCTTACTTATTGCCTATCCCACACTGCGAATTTTTTCTAAGCTCTATACTAAACATTAAATCTGTTATGAAAAAAGAATTAAACAAAATGAACACAAAACGATCAGCTTTAAAAAGACTCATAACTAGAAAAACTGAATAAAAAAGAATGTTAACAACAAATACTTTTTCACACCCAACCCAGTTCTGTGGAATCAGAATCAACGTTGAGTTTAAGCAAGTGAATGAGCCAATTGGAGTAAAGTGCCATGCAGATTTAAATCTTTCCCACTTGTGATGAATGCAGTTATCGATTTTTTTTGCATGCTAGCATGCTAGTTAACATTTGTGTCAGTCAGCTGTTGGCTCTCACGCTGGCCAATAGAATCTTCCTGCCTATTCGTGGCAGCCAGCTATTGGCTCTCACTCTGGCCAGTAGAAAATGGCCGCAAACTACATGAAAACTGCCAGAGAAGCATGAAAAAATCGATTATTTCCACTATCGATGGGAGTTGGGAAATGCGAAGTCAGTCTTGACCTTCCCGCTAACTTGGAGCATGTGCATGTAAATTTTGGTGCAAATCCATCGAAAATTGCAGCCATACACACACACACATCCTGCCTTTTATATATATATATATATTGTTAAAATTTTGTTGTATTTATAGAGGAAGAGTGCTCAATATTCTCTACAGAGTAGACATAGGGATGCACACGGCATGATGTTTGAGTTTCATCCTTCATTGTGATTTTTAAACCAAGACAGTCATGATGTAGTGTTGTTTTATACATCCAGGCTTTTATACATATTATAAATTGCATTTAAAATATTTAGATATTATAACTTTATAAATATTACCTTTAAATGTCCATCATCTCCCAGCAGAAGATTAGAAGGTTTGATATCTCGATGAATTATTTTCTGGTAGTGTACTAAAACATAAAAAGAAAGAAGATCATTTTAGAAATTCAACATGTATTCTCAATGATATTCTTGTGGATTTTATTTAATAAAATGCTAACCAAAATGATAAAACAGATTCCTGAATTTATTAACCAATCTTTTCATCATTAAAACAGGTATCAGTTTTATTATTACTAATTAATAATACTAATCTGATTCTCTTTATGAGAGCCCATGTAATGCAAACTTTTTGTACTGATTTAGGTGGGGAAATATTGCTATTCATTCAACGGAAAGTTAATTCTTCAAAAACATTTTTTAAAAAATAAAAGAGGGCAGTAATCTCAAGATATTTAAATATTTAAAATAAATAAATTGATGCATAAATATTTGATCAAAATAAAAAAAAAATAATAAATGATAATTACATTAAAAATAATACAATAAAATTTAGCAACAACATTTATTCACTTTTATTTGTTAGTGAATAATTACATCACTTAGCATCCTCAGATTTTTAGAGTATTCTTAAATTTAAAACTTGCAAACAATGCTATTTTCTTCCCCTTTATGTCTGTATGAAAATACAAGTTACAAAACTCCACATTTACCTTGATAAAGTTCCCCTTGGAGATGAAACACATTGGTAAGAAAAAGTTTTTCTTTAGTCTTATATATATATAATAGCTATGTCAAAGATAGTATGAAGCCAAAATGATGACAGTTAATTGGATATTGAGAGAAAAGAACTTTAAGGAAAGCAATCTTTGCAATAAAGTAATCAATATCAAAGATAGAGCATTAATAGGATTAATATGATTAAAAATTTGTCACTTAGCTGATTGAAGTTACCTTCAGTATTCTGAATCTAGAGTTTCATAGATGGACCTATGCATCCACTCATCAACAAGTATTAGCAATTTTAGTAAATTGCTGATACTCACAGTCTTTATCAATGCATGTGTAATGGTTATGTTTTGCAACAAGTATACAGTGGTGGAAATAAGTATAAGTCACCCCATGAAATTATTAATAATTTTCTTATTACTGCACAAATTCCTCTGAAAATTTGAGTGTGGTACCTAGATCTGATGGTATTAGTATACATATTTGATTTTATAACAAATTTCCACCAAAAAAAGTTATTAAGAAAAATATGTTTTCGAGGGTGGAAATAAGCATAAGACAGTTTTGAAAATTTGTATTTAACAGCAAAATTGTACAAAATTCAATATTTACATTTATTTCCTTTCAATTGTAATACTTCAACACATGTTTTGCATTGAATCAATAAGTTTTCTGAAAGTTTCAGATGGAATTTCATTCCTATCACAGCTGTTTAAAACCCTTGTTTTTGTCACATAGGAAAATCCAACATGGCGCGTAAACAAAATATTTGGTGAAAAATCCCATTCATCAGTAACATTTTAAACATGTCATAGAATGTAAAGTTCTTAAACCGAGCCTGTGCCAAACTGTTTTCCTGAATTCTTGGTGACTTGGCTGTCCAAAAATGACATCAAAATGAAATAATGGAAACTGACCATGAAAAACAATTATTCACAAGTTTTCAATCAATCAGTAAACTTCTGGACCTTTTCGGGTGATGTTATAGGATCCAGATGACTATTGTTTGCACATGGAATTATTCACTGGTAATCAATCTTCGATTTGGCTGTGAAAAATGTCACTTGGTGGTTAGCATTAAGAAATTATGCCCAATTTTCTGAGAAAAATCACCTTTTTTTTATGAAAAAAATATTTATTTTCACTTCAAAATAATATCATTCAAACTTCATCCCTTTCTCCTTAATTTGGCATGAACATCATTGAATAAAAGGAACGGCTAAATGGCCTGGTGATGGGAAATATGAAAGACATGCGGTGAAAAAACAATGTCGTCTGCTAAGTGTTGTTGTCATCACCGGGTCATGGGGTGTTAAAAACAAAACAAAACACATCAAGCCATTGTTCAAACATAGGTTTGAAAAAAGAAAAAACAAACCTTATATCAAGCCCTACCAATGTTAACCCCTTTTTTTTTCACTTTTTGCTCTTATCTGGAAGTGGTGGGTTTTATTACAAGCTGATGACAACTTGTTCTAAACGTTTATTGTTGGCTGGAGGATCTTTGACCCAGACATGTCAAAGTCAATTTGGCTTAATTTTCCTTATCGCTGATATTTTTTTGAAAAAAATCACCTTTTTTTTATGAAAAAAATATTTATTTTCACTTCAAAATAATATCATTCAAACTTCATCCCTTTCTCCTTAATTTGGCATGAACATCATTGAATAAAAGGAACGGCTAAATGGCCTGGTGATGGGAAATATGAAAGACATGCGGTGAAAAACAATGTCATCTGCTAAGTGTTATTTGTCATCACCGGGTCATGGGGTGTTAAAAACAAAACAAAACACATCAAGCCATTGTTCAAACATAGGTTTGAAAAAAAAAAAAACAAACCTTATATCAAGCCCTACCAATGTTTTTTTTTTTTTTCACTTTTTTGCTCTTATCTGAAGTGGTGGGTTTTTATTACAAGCTGATGACAACTTGTTCTAAACGTTTATTGTTGGCTGGAGGATCTTTGACCCAGACATGTCAAAGTCAATTTGGCTTAATTTTCCTTATCGCTGATATTTTTTTGAAAAAAAAAAAAAAACTTCTGATTTCTGGTGGTCAGGAATTGCAGATAAATCTTTCGCCTTTTACTAAAGATTTCTGTGGCCGTCTGTCAATTTTTTTAACCCCTGGCAGTCATATAATTGAAAATTACCAAATGGACTTTCAAAACTCTCAATTTTATGCTTCAAATAGTTTGATTATGATTTAGGCTTTCTGATTTTCCAAAAGAAATGGTTAATTTCCCATTAATGGGGAAAATTTTTGTTTAGAACTAGAAAAAATGCAAAATTTTCACTATTTTTTCACATTTTACTACCTGAAAAAAAATTTGAGTCATTTAAACCAGTCAATTTTACTTTTAAATGAAAGAATATATCCTTTGCTTTCAGAAAATACCTAGTTTCATGGGGTTCAGGTCAAAAGATTTTATTGATATTTGTTTAGATGGTGATAAAACAGTCATTTTTCAATATTTTACCCCTATAAAAGTATGAAAATTCATTTTTTCAGAGAAAATAAGCTCTGACAAAATGATTTTTGCCATTTTTGTGATGATTTTTACTTGGGATAGAAAATTTTGAATATAGCAAACCTGAATTGACATTATTTAAGTTCAGTGGGGCTATAGGAAACCTCAAACAGCTCTACTATACCGTTTAATGCAAAATGTTAAAGTTTCTCTATCTTCAAATTGACATTTATTTTTGTATACTCTTCTTGACAAAATTCCCTACAAATTTTCTATTTGGTTTAAATCTGGAAACTTAGTGGGCCAATCCAAAATGTCAATATTTTTTCTTTTAAAACATTCTTTCATGAGCTTAGAAGTATGTATTGCTGTATTGTCCTGTTGAAAAATGGCATTATTGGTATCTAGACGATTCATAAATGGGACAGAGTTTTTTCCAACACATTGATATATCAAGCAGAGTTTTGTTCCCCTTCCATCACTACTAAATCAGCCTTTCCAGACACAGAAAAAAGCTCCCCAAACCATAACAGATCCTCCTTCAAATGGTGTTTTTGAAAACAGCTGCTTCTCCTTTCTTAAATCATGCCAATAACACTGGTAGCCGTCGGGCCCATCCAAATTAAACTTTTTCTCATCAGAAAACACTATGGTTTCCCATTTCTCCTTTGTCCATGTTACTTTTTTCTTTACCCAATCTATGTGCATCTTCTTGCATTCAGCAGTTAAAGCAGGGGCGTCTTCCTGTTTTAATACACGGAATTTGGCAATTCACAGAGAAGTTGACAAACTTTTCTTGGAGTGATAGTTAAATTCTGAGATTTTTGCTGATCTCTTGAGCTTGATGATCCTTTAGAAGCTTCTTGAAAAAGTCAATATCTGGCTGCATTTATAATTTTAGGTGGATGACCTGGACATTTTCTGGTGCCATACGATTCAGGGTCCTTTAGGTAATTTCTCACAACTGTTCAGGACCTCAACAGTTCTCTTGCAATGAAACTTATGAAACTTATAGATTTTCCTTCCAGTTTATAGGCAGAAATTTGCCCTTTTTCATTAAGTGGGGGAGTTCCTAGGCATTTTTCAGTAACTGTATTCAATTATGAAATGTTTAAATAGGGCTCACATGGCTTAAAATCATGATAACAACCTTTTATAATCTGTGCATGCACTTATTCTTCCTTTGGCATTTTAAAGTAAACCAGATATGCAAATATTCAAAACTGTCTTATAATTATTTCCACCCTTGAAAACTAAGTTTTCTTAATAACTTTTTTTTGGTGGAAAGTTGTTGTAAAATTGAATATGTATACTAAAACCCAACAGATGTAGGTACCACACACAAATTTGAGGAAATTGTACAGTAATAAGAAAATCAGTAACATTTTCAGGTTGTGTTATATACATATTTTCAACACTGTATATTTTACACAAAATTTCCAAATATAAGAAAATTCATAAATATCCTAGATTACATAATATAGGATCTTCAATAGATCCATTGGTATATGAGCCAGGTGGATCCTAGTAATATCAGATAGTAAAATTGATCCACACAGAGAGCTAAAAGCATAAATTACAACAGAGCATATATATTATACAGCAAAGAATCCAAAATTACCTCATCTGGGTATAGTCTATTTACAACAAGTGCAAACTTGTGCCAGTCTTCTTCAGCTCTTGACCTTTGACAGTAATATATATATATATATATATATATATATATATATATATATATATATGTGTGTGTGTGTGTGCCCTGTTTGTACCAGAATATGTAGGTCCCTTGCTAGGCTAAAGAATTACATTTTTTCAGCACATCAGTAGATCTTTTCCAAAAAGATATGTATTAATGGCGTTACTCAGACATGAGTTGGCAACCATGATATACTTGACTCTTCTGTCGAATTTGATGTATGAGGGTCAAGCAG